GGACATTTGGAGTGGGATGGATGGACATTTGATATTAAAAGCATAGGAAAATAAGAAACTGAGGTTATCCCCTTGTTTGGGATGTCAGGAGAGTGGGAGTCCTACGTCTGAAAAAATGAGTTTGGCATTTACGTGTTCTGGGATGAGGCGGGGTCAGATAAGTAAGAGGTAGAGCAGGAGGAGATTAAACAATGCTGGCCAGAAAGCATAAAGTATTCTCCAATTATCCAGCAAATGATTGGTGGAAGGTTGAAGACAGGGCATAGAAGCTTCTGTTAGTATATTACTTTCCTGGGGTAAAAGTGGTCCAATGTACAGATGACAGTACTAATTTATATGAAGAATAAAATTGACATCTAGATTCTAATGGCATTTCTGCTTGTCTGTGATGGTGTCATTTCAGGATTTTTTTGTGGGAGCAGGGGCAGGGAGGGGCAGCAGTTTTTTAAGTCTTTATTCTCACAGATCTTCAATATCTTCAGTATCTCCGCTATGTTGGGCCATAACAACTTGAGACAAAGTTTCCACTGTGACTTCTGGAGCAGAGATACAATGTATTGTATCGAACTTCAAGCCATCCCCATTTCTGTTGGCTAACCCTCACCAGGGCAGGTTTCCATGCAAGGCATGCTCTCTAAACCCTTGGCTTTAATAGGCCTTCTCTGATTGGTTGTCCTTCATAGACTCCTTCCAGGATAATGGGTTATCATACATCCTGGACGTACATCTTTCCCTACTGCTAAAGGCCCTCCTCAATTATTCATGCTACCATGAATGTTTACTACTTAACATAGTTGCACATAATGTTACTTTTGGTGGTATTTTCATCTCAAGCACCTTGCAGGAAGGTTGGTGAGCATGTCAACAAACACTATCCCAGCCCTTAGGAAGCTGAGGTAAAGGACTGCTGTGAATCTAAGGCCCGCCTGGGTTGCAGCATAAGACTTTAAACCAAAACCAAACTAAAACAAACCCAGAAATCTAGTTTAAAAAAAAAAAACAGGGACTATTGAATTAATGTCTATGAAAACACACACACACACACACAATAGAAATAGAAATATCACCTAAAATTATCTGGAGAATGATTTTAAGATGGATGGAGTTTTAGAAAGAGGAATTTGAGATTAATTTTGATTTTCTTGGGGGCAAGGTCAACACACAGCTCACGGCCTTTCTTTCTTTTTCTCTGGTAGTCTGCCTTTGGCCGGTTCACTTTTTGTTATTCAAGAGTTGGGGAGAAAAGGACGGAAGTTGAAATTCCTGTCTGCTAAGGAAGCCTTCCTGGCACAGCCTTGAAGCTGGTAGAATGTAATGAGTAAACTCAGGTGGTGGCCTGAGATTATCAGCAGCTCTCACTAACCAGACCTTTCCCCTGCTGCACACCCCTGAACCATGGCAACACATGAAGCTTGTTTTACTAACTCGTCGAAACTCGGCAGGGTTAGTCAGCACCTGTGTCCCAAAGCACATGTCAAGCCATGTACCTCGGTTTGGGGGTTTGGAGAGCCGGTCTCTACAGTAACAGAAGAGATTGGTGGTGTGGTCTGTTTCTCTGGGGCAATTTCACGGGCCTGAGGAAAGAATTGAAGAGTTTATTTTCCGAAATTAGTTCAAGGAACATTCCTTAAGTGAAAAAAAAAATTCAATCAAGAATAATCTTACTTACATTTTAGGGGGAGGCTATTTAATATGGAATTTCCATCTGTGATATATTTAAATTCTAGGCCTCAGGCAACAAGAGCAGAGAAAGGCCCCTGTACCCTTCATGAGATGCAAAACAAACAGTAGACGCTGGGGGCGGAGCTTTCCTTTACTTCCCCACTGCTTTCCCTTTTTTCCCTGGGAGAAGTGTTAGCCTGGCTTCACCATCTCAGAAATCACATGTTACTGCTTTTTCTCTCCCCCTCGTTCCCTTCCCAGCAAACTCTCCTCTTGGCATCAACGTTATTTACCGCAACTTTAATGACTTCGAATTGTTTTGTCTGTCCCCGAACCTTGTAGAAAAGGGGAAGCGTAAACTCCCCCCAAAGCCAGTTGGCAGTCCGCAAGCAGAAGGCTGTCAATATCGAAATACAATACTAGCTTGATCCAGATTTGACGCGCTGACAAAGGCTGGGTTTGCTATTTAGGAAAGCTCAGCCATCTTGACTGAGTACATCGAGCGGGCGGTCCCGTCTTATTGCCTAGGCACTTTACCAGGGATTTCTAAGTTGAGGTAGAACTCCCAGCATCCTTTAGAGCAGCAGAGGCCTAACCCGCTGAAGCTGTCAATACAAACCCCATTTAGGATGCGGAAAAGAACGCGCAAGTTTCAGACTTTATTATGCATTCTTCCACTCTCGAAAAGGGCAAATTAAACTCCGTACGAGCTTAGAACTTTATTTCTTATTTTTCTTGACCTGTGGCATGTCTTTAGTCCCCCCCACCCCCCCACCCCCACCGGGTAGCAATGGTAGGAGACCAGGGCCCACTCTTTAATGGCTGAATGCACACATTTCACCAGCACATGGTGGTGGATTCGCTGCTCTGCGAATTGCCTCAGGAAAAAAAAAAAAAAAAAAAAAAAAAAAAGTAAAGTGCAAAAGCAGACAAAGAAATCTATAACCTTCTCAGTCTGTTCCCATTTTGTTCGGGCCGTTCTTTGGAGCCAGCTCGGGAAAGCAGGCGACCGCGGATCGCGAAGAAGAGATGCACCTGAACCAGCAGTGTCTGCGGGCGGCCGCCTGGGCCGAGCCGCTCAATTGCTGCTTTCCAGCGGCGAAGGCGCAGCAGCAGTAACAGGGAAGCCAGCGCGAGCCTCCCCGGCGGCGGCGGCGGCGGCGGCGGCGGCGGCACCGGCACCAGCGCAGTTTCCCCTCTCCCCAGCCCTGACTCTACGCGCACATGCGCACTGCGCCCGCAGCCCTGGACCATTTGTCAGGACTACTCGTGAGACGGAGAAAAAAAAAAGAGAGAAAATTTGGGGGTAAGAAGCGGCTGATCGAATCTAATCTCTAATTAATCCGCAGCTCGGGCCCGTGCCAAAGCCATTCATTGATTTTCCTTTCTTTCTTTTCTTTTCTTTTTTTTTCTGGGGGAGGATGAAAGTTCCGAGACCTTAGCGAGGGAAGGAAGCGCACCCTCGTCTTGGGAAAGAGATCAGGGGAGGGGAAGGAGGGAAGGGGTTTCTCCCCCACTTCTCTGCGCCTCTGGGAAAGAGGAGAAAACTTAATCCCGGGGGGGAAAAAAAAAAAGTGGGCAAGTGACTCGGAAGCGGCTGGCGGGGGAGTCTGTGGGCATCTCGCTCCGAAGTAGTGAGTGCGAGTGCGAAAGAGGAACAAAAGAGAGAGAAAAGAGAAAGGAAAAAATGGGGGGAGGAGAGACTTGTATTTTTTTTTTTTTTTTTTTTTTTGCTGCTTTTGCGCGCACACGGGGAAGGGTGTGGGGGGCCGTGCGGAAGGGAGCGGGCCGAGGCGGCCGCGATCGGGCCGTCGCCGGCGCGCAGGCGGCGGGATGCGTGTGGGCCCCCCTCCCCCGCGGCTCCCCCCCCCCCCACCTCCGGAGCTTGTCACTTTGGTCGCTTTTTTGACACCGGGCGCGGGGTGGCGGCGGCGGCGGTGAAAGGCGGGGGGGGGGGGGGGGGGGAGAGAGAGAGCGCGGCGCCGCGGGGCTGCGTGTCCGGGGCGGCGCTGGGGGGGGGGGGATGGGGGGGGAAAGAAACGCGGCGGAGCCGCAGCCTCCCCGGGGTGTGTGTGTGTGTGTGTGTAATGGGAGGTGGGGGGCGCGGCGGGCGAGCGCGGTCGGCCCGAGGCAGGGGGCGCCGGCTACCGGAGGGGGACCGTGGGCACGATCGCGGTCGCGACTCGGTGCGGCGGCGGCGGCGGCGGCGGCGGCGGCGGCGGGAGGACGCGAGCCCCGGCGCGCCGCCCCTGCGGCTCCCCCCCTCCGCCCGTTGTGGCCTTTGTGCCGGGCGCGCACCGGGAGAGCGAGCGAGCGGGCGGGCGGGCGGGCGAGCGGGCGAGCGGGCGCGAGAAGTCCAAGTACGGGAGACCGAGGCAGTGGGAAAAAAAAAAAAGAGAGAGAGAGAGAGAGAGAGGGAGAGAGGAGGCCGGGCTACTTTGCTTCCCGGCTCGGCGGCTGCGGAGAACGGACTGGTTGAATGTGGCAGCAGAGGCGCGTCTCGGCGGCGCGGCCGTGTGTGTGTGTGTGTGTGTGTGTGTCGGTGTCGGTGTGTGTGTGTGTCGGTGTGTGTGTGTGTGTATGGGTCGGGTGTGTGTGTGAGTGTGAGCGCGCGCGGAGAGGCCTCCGCGACTCGCACCGCGCGCACACGCACCCTCAACACGCACGCACAACCCGAGCCGCGGCGGGGCCGGCGGCCGAGAGTTTGCGTGTGTGCTCTCCCCGGCTCGCCTTCCTCCTCCCCCGCTCGCCGCCGCCGCCGACTGTGGGAGAATTTCCTAGAGATCGCCTCCAATTTCCGCCATTTTGGGAAAGTTGCACGGAAAAAAAAAAAAAAAGAAAGAAATAAAGCCTCTGCTTGATTTTTTTTTTTTTTTTCCTGCCCGAGGCAGGAAAGTGCTTTTTTGGGGAGCGCGGCGGCGGCGGCGGCGGCGCGGGCCCGACATCGGCGGCGTCCCCGCGGGGAGGAGGGCGCGGGCCGAGCCGGGCACCCGCGCCGTCGCGGTGTTCTTCTTAGTGCAGCGCCGCCGGTGCGGGCGGGCGGGCAGGCGGGCGCGGGCGTGCGAGGCGGCGGCGGCGGCCGGCGGGAGGGCGGGCGAGCTGCGGCCGGGGGGCCCGCGGTGCCTGCAACTTGTTTACGGCCGCCCGCGGTGGCCGAGGCCGGCGACCCGGGTCCGCCTGGCGCCGCGTGCGTGCGCCGATCTGCGCTCATGGGCTGCTGTCTGCTCCACGCTCGCGTCCTGGGCCCGGCGGGGCCGGCCTCGCGCGGCGGCGGCAGTGGCGGCGGCGGCGGGGCGGGGGAAGTAGAGGCCGGCGGGGGTGGGGATCGGGAAGCGCAGGAGCCGAGGCATCCGCCGCGCGCCCCGCCAGCCAGCCAGCCAGCCAGCCAGCCGACCGGAGGAGGAGGCAAACTTAAGAGCGGCCGGGCGAGGGGCGCGCTGGCTGGCGGAGGGAAAACTTTAATCGCCTCCTGAGGGTGGGAAAAAAAAAAAAAACCCAAAAAACCAAAAACCCAAAAAGACAAAAAGAAAAAAAAAAGGGAGGGGGGTGATTCTGGGATCCGAACCCCGCGATCACGGCCCCCACCGCGCCACCGTGAGAGAAAGTTGACCGGCGGGGCGGCTTTCTCCGCGCCCCGGCCCGCGCGGAGGCAGAGGTGTCTGTCTGTCCGTCCGCGCTCCGTGAGAGCCAGGGTGGGAGATCGAGCCGCACTGCCGGGTCGCGTGGGTCAGGGCTCTTGCCCCACCCTTCCACGGGGACACGAAGGTAAACGACGCTTCGGTTTCCCTTCTCTGTCCTCCTGCAGCCACCGCCCAGCTTCCTTTTCCTCCTCTTTCCCCGCTGATTTTTTTTTTCTTTTTATTTTTTTTTAAGAGGGGACCCGAAAAACGGAGTCTCTTTCCTTATGCAACTTCCTCAGGCGCCGTTTGCACGGCCCTTCCCCCTCCGCCTTCTGCATCCCTTGGCCCGCTCCTTTGCCACCTCGGGGCCACCGCCAGAAACATGCATGTGAGATCAACCAAAGTGCCCAGGAACAAAAATAGATTTTAAAAAATTGTTCTAAGTTAAGGGAAACTGAGACGATTGTGGTGTGTGTGTGTGTGTGTGTGTGTGTGTGTGTGTGTGTGTGTGTGTGTGTGTGTGTGTGCAGGGGGAGCGTTGAATTTTCATTTCGATTTTCGTAGATGGTTGGTTGTGATGTCTTTATTGGTGTGGGGAGCCCGGGAGGCTCTGTACTGGCTACCTCGGTCGCGTAGATTTTTGCGCAAGTTTTTAGAAAAACACTGAGTCGAGCAGAGAGCATTTCTCCGGAAAGTTTCAAGTGCAGCAAAATAACGAGCCTGCAAAACTGGCCAAGGGGGGACCTCTAGTGGTTAAACGCATCTTAAGTTCTCGAGGCCGAGAGCAAAGTTTGGCCTTTACTTGTAGCTACGTAGCCGGTTTAGACGTGGAAGTAATTAGAGGACCTGAGTTAGCAGCCAGATGTGGGAAAGGATGCTGATTAGAAATAAAAAGTTTTGTAAATCAGAGAACAATGAAGTCTGAGTTTTCGGGACCTGTGATTTCCACCCTTCCTTGCTTACATTAAAAAACAAATCTTTTTTTTTTTTTTATTCTGAGATTTGAGATTGGCACACCGTAGACAAGGAAATTTGTTTTATAATTACCATCATCTGTATCCTTCATCGTTTTTTTCCCCTCTAAGTAAGGAGTCATGGCAGTAGCTTAATCTGAAATGTTAAGGAGAAATCAAAATAAAACATGTCCTTAAAACTTGGCGAATAGTGAAAAAAAACTTTTGAAATTTGCTTTTGCTTTTTATAGGAGCCGATCGTTTCGTTGTCTGATACATCTAATTTCAGGCTAACAAGTTATTCACTAACCTACATATATACTCAAAAAATAAATAGTACCTTCTCTTTGTAAGAATGTATTTTTGATTCACTGAGTAAAAAAGTTATTTCGGGGATACTTTGTATAACTTATGATTTAAAACATTGATATGGGTAAAAATTATATGAGTTGTTGAACTATTTCCCAGTGTTTATAATGTAAAGAATCCCGAATTTTAAAGGTTAAAAACCAGAGAAATGACGGTTGTGTCAAATCATCCTTGTGTTACCACCTGCCTGTCATGTGTACAATGAGAGAGACAAGGTCCAAGTTCAAGGCTGGTGTTGAACTTACATTTTCCTGCCTCAGGGTCCCTAGTGCTTGGGTAACATCACTCTTATTTACAATGTGAAATTTTATTGTGTGAACTTAGACTATGGGATGATGTGAATGATTATAATTAATTTCACCTCATGTGGAACTGGTTAATTTTATTTTAATACACAGAGCAGTGTTGTGTGGAATGATGCATGTTGAGTTTGAATTGTAGATTGTAAACGTGAAGGCGTTATGAGAGTGCTTTGATTTTTTTTTCTTTTTCTTTCTTCCTTTTCCTCTTTTAAAATCATTGCTAGATCCTTAAGAGAAGTCTTGGGGGTACTCGGCAGTTGTGAAGGCCACCAGACAGTTCTGTCTTTCACCAGCGCTCAAGGTAAGAGCCGCCTGATGCAACCAATTGTTTTTTATCTACTAGAAATGCTGAACCTGCATTTGGAAATCAAGGAGAGTGTGTGGCAGGGTGAGCAGAGAGAAATAAAAAACTAAGTTTGTGGGAACTGCTTTGAACGTATGAACAAGGAGATACCAAGTGTGCTTGAAAAGTTAGGAAAAATGAGATTGTGCTAGGGTGTGTGTATGTTTTTGGTGTGGGTGCATGGAGATGGAGAGGCCAAAGATCACCTGGAGTTGCTACTTGTCTTCCTGTATTGCTGGCTACCGGCTACCTTTTTTTTTTTTTGGAAACCTGGTCCCTCTCTCTGAATCTGTCTCTCTGATTGGCTGGCTAGATTGGCTGGCCAATGAGCTCCAGGGCTTCTTAGGTTGCTCCCCTCCCCCTAGTGCTCAAGTTGCAGATGAGGGTGCTTTTATGAGAGTGTTAGGATCTGAACTCAAGTCTTCACACTTTTGTGGCTGTTGCTTTATTGACTGAGCCTTCTCCCCAGCCCCATTTTGGGGGGGGGGGGGAGGCGGACGGGCTGAGGGTGAGGATGAGGGTGTGTTTCGAGGCAGGGTTTCTTTGTGTAGCCCTGACTGTCCTGGAACTCACTCTGTAGACCAGTCTGGCCTCTCACTCACAGAGATCCGCCTGCCCCTGCCTCCTGAGTGCTGGGATTAAAGGACTGTGCCACTGCTGCCCTGCAGTTACTGGATTCTTAATTAGCATTTCAGCACCCCTTTTTCTACTGGAAGCAATGTTTTTCTTTTCAACTGAAAAAGTGAGAAAACAAGAACAAAACGATTGTGAATTAATATCTTATATAAATGTACAATAGTAGCGAAGAGCCGGGAACTTTAAATGTGTTTGGAGTCTGAGCTACAATTTTGTAGCTAAATTTTATGATAGTGTGTGTGTGGGGGGAGGGTTAATTAATTAATATGTAATTAACATTTAAGTGTCTCCTATGGATTAAATCCAAGAAGGCCTTACTTCTGCCACATACCACGTCTTAGGGATATAGCATAGACTTGTGAGTTTTTGAAAACATTTCTGTGGGATATAGAGCTATTATCTAATAAGATCTTTTTGCTCATCTTGAAGGGTGCTAGCTTAACGGCAATAAATAATCCAGGACCTACCTTTAGGATCAAGACCATGTGATGGGGGAAACCACAGCGGGGTTAGAATATCTACGTAGTGCTTTCTGTTATTTATTTCATTTCTACTCTTTTTTTTTTTTTTTTTTTTTTTGGTTTTTCAAGACAAGGTTTCTCTGTGTAGTTTTGGTACCTGCCCTGGATCTCGCTCTGTAGACCAGGCTGGCCTCGAACTCACAGAGATCCGCTGCCTCTGCCTCCCCAAGCGCTGGGATTAAAGGCGTGCGCCACCACCACCCAGCATCCCTTCCTACTCTTTGCTCTTCCTTTCTCCTTTCCAACTGGCCTTCCTGCCTCCTCTGTCTTGAGTACTAAAGAGTTTGTTCATTTCTGTTTGGCAGAAGCCAAAGGAAATGAAAGTTGGCTTTCCTTTTAAAATTTATTTACTTATTATTAGTATTCCTCGGTGTGTGTGCTGGGGGTGGTGGTGTGTATGCATCATATTACATGTATGGCAGTCAGAGGGCAGCTTTGGAGTTATTTCTTCCTTTCCATGTTTATGTGGGTTCTGGGACTTGAACTCAAGTTGTCAGGCCCAAATGACAGATGCCTTTACTCACTGACCATCTCACTGGCCTAAGCCTTTTTTTTTTTTTTTTTTTTTTTTTTTACAAGCAGAGCTAATTCCCTTTTGTGGATCAGGTGTGGATTACAAGTGACACTGAATAATGACCAGAGAATAAAAGTGATTGTGAACAGTAGTTTATTGTCATTTTCTGTTTGTGGCGTGACTTAAGTAGTGCAGTTAGTAGAAGTCACAGGTTTCATCCTTGTACCTGTGTGGGTGATCCTACAGAGACAGCGCACAAGAACAGCTACCTGACCATGCAAACAAGAGCACGATTCCAGGGAGAGGAGTACCCCGGCTTTCTGGGGTAGTCAGTGTAGTATCTGTGTGCTACCGAGTTGAAGACAATGCTTATCAGTCTTCACCTGAGGAGCCACACGTGCTGGGGATAGCAAGCTAGACCAGGAGTCAGCAAACGGAACTCGGCAATCTATATCATCTCGTTTGAGTTACTGGGCCTCCTTCGGCCTGGATTTTCCCCTCTGGAGAATGGGAATGCCACTATTTGCCTTTTGTTGTAAAGGAAGGAGGATTTTGAGAACGGTAGAGAGGTGTTCACGTGTGTGGCGGGTATTTCCCTCCCTGTCACTGTCACTAGGCTTTGTGAGGAACAGAGGCAGGTTGTTTGGTGCACAGACAGCCTGGGGGGTCAGCTCCTGACTTTATAGGGTGTATAGCATATAGACTTGTCCAAAGTATCCTGTATAGCATATAGACTTGTCCAAAGTATCCAGCAGTGAGTGTCTTTCTTACTTCACTTTTCTTTCTTAAGTTTTTGTTTTGTTTTTTGAGACAGGATCTTGGGTTTGTAGCTCTGACACTCCCTATGTAGACCAGACTGACCTGGAACTCACAGAGACCCTTCCACATTGGACTCAGGCATGCTAGGATTTAAGTTGTGTTCCATCATGCCTGGCTTTGTCTGTCTGTCTTTCCTTATTACTTACATTTTTTTCCTTTGGATTTATTTGTTTATGCCTCTCAGTGGTGGTGCAGGCCTTCCATCCCAGCACTCAGGAGGCAGAGGCAGGTGGATATTTGTGAGTTTGAGGACAGCCTGGTCTATAGAGCTAGTTTCAGGACAGCCAGGTCTACACAGAGAAGCCCTCCCTGTCTCAAAGCAAGCAAACAAACAAACAAACAAACACAAAACGAGATTGATTTATTTGTTACTGTATATGTGTGTGTGCTTTGCCTGCATGTATGTCTGTGTACTGCGTTTGTGCCTGGTGAACTCCGAAGTCAGAAGAAGATGTTAGATCCCGTGGTAAGGCTGAAAGTGGGTGCTGGGAGTCCAACCCAGGTCCTCTGCGAGAGCAACAAGAGCTCTTAACCACTGAGCCGACTCTCCAGCTCCGTCGTCGTCTTTTGTTTCTTAAAAAAAAAGTATATTGGTTTCCGAATGGGCGAACAATGCTCTATCATGCTACTGGTTACGAAGCCTGAACGTTGTCCCAAATGAATAGAAGGGCTAGTGAAATGCTTATGGAAATAAAAGAAATGTTTAACAAATAGTGCCTGCTGGTGGAAATGGTAGGGTGAGGGAACTGTGGGTTGGTGTGAGGGGAATTTGTTTACTGGAGTTAACGTTTTGACGGTATAGTGTGAGTCTGCCTGGAAAAGCTGGTGAGAAAATTGGTGACTGTGGAGGTGGTGACAGAAGTCACTGGGGAGGACAGGAATTGATTCCTGAGAATGACTGGTTTTAAGGAAAAGTTCAAATAAGATTCTCCCCACATGGTTTTAGACATCCTTGTTGCTGTGTTGCTCATTATAGCTAACTCTAAAATCGAGATAGAAAAAAAAAAAGAGAGAGAGCAATACTGTGTTATTATTTTCATCCTAATGGTACTGAACCTGACAGAGCAAACCCTGACATGTTCTGGTTTTATTAGTTTTATTTCATCTCCTTTTTATAGATTATCCAATCAATATCCTGAGGGCCTAAACACTCAGTAGTGAAGGAGAGAAGATGTACTTGTCCATTTAATTAATCCTGGAGTAACTGAGAGGTAACTCTTGAGTAAACTCCATGGTTTTGTTGTTTCTTAATTTTAGGCCTATTGGCATTTTGCCTACATGCATGTCTGTGTACCACTTGTGCCTAGGGAACACAGAAGACATCTTAGAATCCCCTGGAACTGGAGTTACAGATGATCGTGAGCTGTTATGTGGGTGCTGAGAATCGAACCTGGGTCCTCTGGAAGAGCAGCCAGTGCTCTTAACCACTGAACTGTCTCTCCAGCCCATGGTATTTTATTTTTAGGAATCATGTGCCCTCATAGATAAGATAGCTATGGTTTATGGTAGATAGGTCAGGATAGGGAAATCATAAGAGAAGTCACTTTATGTGGTATGTGACAGTGGATGGAACTCATGGTGTCCCAAGGACAAACAGGTCATGGAGTCTTCTGCCAAGCAGTGTTTTTGGTTTCTTAACTAGTTGTTACTGAGTTTTCACAGTGTGTGAAATCTGAAAGGCTGGGTTTTGTTCCCTTGGAGCTCCCAGGATCTGTAGTCCAGGAGGAGAGATAACAGAGCTCTGCCAATTGTAACAACTGTTGGAGTTTGTTCTAGTATATATATAGTAATAGTGTAACCAGTGCACGGCACACTGTGCCGTGGAAGAGAACACATGCTCCAGGTGTTGTAGAAGCCAGTGAGTCAGGAAACAGGAACTTGGGTGCTGACTGATGGTGCCAAATGTTAGACACGAGACACTTCATATTCCACTTTAATTAGTTTCCAGACGTGAGTAAGCCACTTTCTAACCCAGGCTGAGGTACACCTTAGTTGTGCTTCTAGTAAAAGTGATGGATTTTCTTTGACCGGTGTGTTCACAAGATGAGCTGGTGAAGATCTGCTCTACCACTATTCCTGTTTGCTACTATTGGATGGACTCATGCCTCCTTAGGATTTTGGGATTATTAAAATATAGATGAAGATACTGTATTTAAAATCATTATGTGTTCACATGTGTTCAGACTTGTGTATGATGTCTTGAAGTTGAAGGGATCTATAGGAGTGATATTATTTGTATAGTCTTTATTTTAATATATATCTTTATAAATATAGATACGTATTTTGTAAAGTCTTCATTATCCAGTGGAGATACTCTCAGGGGTTGTCTTTTAACAGTGGTTAAATTATTTTAGTAATGTGTGTGGGTGAGAGTCAGTGATTGTTCGCGGCCGTTATGGAGCGGGTGGAGGAAAGGCCGAACCAGGAAGATTGCCCTGATGTAGAGTTGAATTTAATATGGGGTTGAG